TCACTCATATGAGGACTTTAAGAGACAAAACATGAACATAAGGGGAAGGAAACAAAATAATATAAAAACAGGGAGGGGGACAAAACAGAAGAGACTCGTAAATATGGAGAAAACTGAGAGTTACTGGAGGGGGTGTGGGAGGGGGGATGGGCTAAATGGGTAAGGGGCACTAAGGAATCTACTCCTGAAATCAGTGTTGCACTATATGCTAACTAATTTGGATGTAAATTTAAAAAAATTAAAAAGAAAAGACTAAAAGTAATGTTATCTTAACAGTAGCTTGCCCATCAAGGTCCTGAGAGCATGTTTTCAGATTCATCAGAGACTTATGCTCTCCCTAACTCCCACCAACTTAAAAGTATATAATCAGTCACTCCTCACATCCCCAGTGCATCTCTTTCTGCCCATGGGTCCTGTCCCCGTGTTTTAATAAAATCACCTTTGTGCACCAAAGACCTCTCAAGAATTCTTTCTTAGCCGTGTGCTCAAGGACCCCATCAGTTTTCGTTACTATTAAAGTTCAAGGCTGGGACTGAGAGAAGAAGCAGGACATCAACAGGATATAGACGATAGGACAATGGTTATGAAATAAGAGATAAGGCAAATGCTTATGATTTTTAGGCATTAGCGGTGAGGCTGTTCTTATTCTTTTGAAATCTAATCTAAAAATTAAAATAGAAAAATTACATTTATAGTAATCCTCAAAACTAATTTTAAAAGAATTTTTAAGTGGCAAAACAAAATATAAAAATAAGTAAAAGAAGAAGACTAGATGTTCTCAAGATTCCTTGAACACAGCATAAAAAGATAAATGTCAGGATTGTATTAGAGTAGAATCTAGAAAGGGGGGCGCCTGGGTGTCTCAGTCAGTTAAGAGACTGACTTCAGCTCAGGTCATGATCTCGTAGTTCATGGGTTCAAGCTCCACATTGGGCTCTGTGCTGACAGCTCAGAGCCTGGAGCCTGCTTGGGATTCTGTCTCCGTTCTTCTCTGCCCCACCCCCGCTCATGCTCTGTCTCTCTCTCTTTCCCAAAAAAATAAGCAAAAAACGTTAAAAAATTTTTTTAAAAAGAGTAGAATCTAAAAAATCATGATTTTCAGTTCTAAGGAATAAAACTACCAAAATTTAGAGATAAAATATTTTTTTCTTTAAATCTGTTTAGGAAATATATACAGTGAATATAATGCATTTCCAATTTGCATTATAGTATTGTAGACATATTTGCTAGACTGATTTCATTTACCAAACATAATTGAAGGAGTGATGAAAGAAAGA